GTTTCTCTTTCCCTGACTTGTTTCACTTAGCATAATGCCCGCCAAGCCCATCCATGTTGCAAATGGCAGAATTCCGTCCTTTTTGATGGCTGAGTAATATTCCACTGCATATGTATACCGCATCTTCTTCGTCAGTAGACCTTTAGGTGCTTCCATGTCTTGGCTATTGTAAGTAATACTGCTACGAACACAGAGGTGCATGTATCTTTTTGAATTCGTATTTTCAGTTTTTTTGGATATATACCCCAAACTGGAATTACTGGATCATATGGTAGTTCTGTTTTTAGTTTTTTGAGAAACCTCCATACTGGTCTCCATAGTGGCTGCACCGTTTCGCATTCCCACCAGCAGTGCGCGAGGGTTCTCTTTTCTCCATATCCTCGTCATGTGTTACCTGTGTTCTTTTTGATGATGGCCATTCTGACAGGTGTGAGGTGACGCCCCATTGTGGGTTTGATTTGCATTTCCCTGATGACTAGCGATGTTGAACATCTTTTCATGTGCCTGTTGCCCACCTGCATTTCTTCTTTGGAAAAATGCCTATTCAGTTCTTTTGCCGTTGTTTCAATCAGGGTTTTGTTTGTTTTTGATGTTGAGTTGTATAAGCTGTTTATGTATTTTGGATGTCAACCCCTTATTGGTCATATCATTTGCAGATAGGGTCTGCCATGCAGTAGGTTGTCTTTTCATTTTGTCCATGGTTTCCTTTACTGTGCAAAATCTTTAAAAAGTTAAATTAGGTCCCATTTGTTTCTCTTTGCTTTTGTTTCCTTTGCCTGAGCAGATGAGCACTTCACTGCCTGACACCTCCTCACCCGCTCCCTGGCTGCCCACCCCCCTCTCCGGCTGAGCTCCTCCCTCCCCTCAGGTGCCCACCCCTTCCTCTGAGCGTCTTCCTTCCAGAGACCTTCCTTCTGGCTCCTCCCTGTGCCCACCCCCAATGGACCCCACCTGCTGTCACTGCTCCAGACATGCCTCAGGAACAGGCACCAGGGACAGAGATGGGGTCGTTTAGCTTGTTTTAAAATTTGCATCATATATATATAAATGTTTATAACACACGCTCAATGAGTGACCGCAGGCCGAGGGGGTGATGGGTAATCCTCACCGTTAAACAGCAGGAGGGGGGACAGACAGGCCAGGGGACAGCCAAAGCACACAGGTCGCATCCCCCCCGAGCCCCCGACTCGGGCCTTTGCGGGCAGGGAACCTGCTTTCCTCCGTGGCCTTGGGCACGTCCTTCAGCTGGGCTCATCTCTGCCCCAAAACAAGACTAGTCATGACGGCCTTCTCGTGGGGGGACTGGTGGGGGACAGACTGTGCACAGAGAGTCTGGCCGCAGTAAGTGACAACTGGTGGTGTTCATTATTCCTACCTGAATATTTTTGGCAGTGATATTTCTGTAAAGATCAGCAGAAATGTTTCTTCGTCCTTGACTTCACAGGAAGGTAGTCAAGACAAGTAATACAGAGAAGGAAGTGGAAACAGGAGGTTTGTTTTCTGTGTTCAAGATGCTGGTATTAACATGGTTAAAAGAATGATTTGAAGATTCTTTTTTGTTGTTGTTTTTGGTTTTTTGTTGTTTCTTTTTCTTTTTTCTTTTTTTCCTTTATTTTTATTTTTTTTCTGAAGATGCCTGAATTCTTGTCAAGCTTGCTACTTCTAAGAAGTCTGCCTGTATACCTATCTTTCTATCCTCAAAGTAATTTAGATATTATTACTAGTAAAATAAAGACAACCAGTAAAAGCCTTTGAGCGCCGAAAGCACTAGAAGGCAACCTTCCTCCAGGTTCTCCTTTATCTGTAAATCGAGGCGGCTGCCACTCTCCTGTTTAAACATGAAAGTGTGCTGCCCTCTCGTGACAACCTGGAGAAAAGCAGAAAATGTACAGAGTCAGCATTTGCGGGGAGAAAGATGAAGTTAGCACCTTAGAACCAAGCACGTAATGATCACATTCTCTAAACTGAGATTTCTAAAAGAAACACAGATCCAAAAATGGAATACCAGATTCTGCCACAGTTGTTCCTAACCTTACTAATTTCAAGGTCTCCTTGATAGAAAACCAACAGAAAATTGCTTTTGTGGAAAAAAAAAATACATAAGGCTATATTGCATATTACATATGCATGTGCACATGGATTGCATTTTACATATATGCATCTGTAGATATGTCGGTACTTTTTAAAAACAAGTCATCGAACCCTACCATAAATCAAATATGTTCCATCTCATTTGACGTGACTTGCTACCATGACATAGTTCACCTGGACTCTGAGGGGAAGCCGGCTCCTTGCTCAGGA